AGCCCATCCCGCCGGCGGGGGAGTCACGCCAGGGTGGAACAAGCTGTGCCAAGATTAAGCTGCGTCGGGGGAGGGTTGGGTTGGATCTCCGGGAAAGGCTGTTCACACAGAGATGGGCGCTGGAACAAACAGGCTCTGCAGGGGAATGGTCACAGCACTAAGCCTGAGTTCAAGTGTTTGGACAACTGTACTGTGCTCAGTTCTGGGCCCCTCAGTTCAGGAAGGATATTGAGGTGCTGGAGCAGGTCCAGAGCAGAGCAGTGAAGGGACTTGAGCACAAGTGCCATGAGGAGAGGCTGAGGGAGCTGGGGGTGTTCAGCCTGAAGAGGAGGCTCAGGGGAGACCTTATCACCCTCTACAACTCCCTGACAGGATGTTGGAGTCAGGTGGGGGTTGGTCTCTTCTCCCAGGCAACCAGCAGCAGGACAAGAGGGCACAGACTCAAGCTCTGCCAGGGGAGGGTTAGGTTGGATATGACGAAGAGATTTTTTTAAGGAGAGAATTATCAGACATCAGAATGGGCTGCCCAGGGAGGTGGTGGATTCACCATCCCTGGAGGTTTTCAAGATGAGACTGGATGTGGCACTTCGTGCCATGGTTTAGTGACCACAGTCGGGTTGGACTCGATGATCTTTGATATCTCTTCCAATCCTGTTGATTCTGTGATTCTATGACAATGCTCTCAGGCACAGTGTGATTCTTGGGGCTGTGCAGGACCAAGAGCTGGATTCGATGATCCTTGAGGGTCCCTTACAACTCAGGATATTCTATGATTCTAGGCCCCCCTGTACACTCCTGCCTTCCACCTTTGCCTTTGGTTAGAATAAACCCATTTGGAGAAGCAGCATCTGTCATTCTCCTGCAGAGAACCCAGTGTTGCAGGTTGCTGGATGCCCATGGCACCTGTAATGCAAGCACTGGTGAAAAAACACCTTTGTGTCCTCCACAGTGGCAACGAGGAAGCCAAAATCTGATGCAGGACTGTCTCCTGGAGAGAACAGTCAGACTGGTACCAGTGACCCACAGTGAAGCACCTAGAGCCATCTCCTCTGGCTCCTGGCACATTGATGAACCAGTTACCATGGGTATTTGTTACAGGTATTGAATAAGTTCAGTCATTGTAAAGGCAAAACTTAAGGCTTTTGGCCTCCATACCCATATATTGATTTCAAGCACTATGTGAAACTGACTTCAACAGTTGACATGTTGATTACAATAGTCGACACACTTCAGTGGTTAGAAAACTGACACAATCAAAAGCAAGAAAGACCAAAGGGAGTGGTTCCAGCACTGCCACCCAGGGAGTGATGGGGTGGGTGCAAATGAACAGCCTATTGTTTATGGCTCTACTGAGATACTTGACTTCCAGGTTCACATTTTTCACACCACCTTCCCTAGAAAAGGTGTCCCTTGGCCACATTTCTCCTGTAACAGTTATTGCTCACATGGACACACCAATCCCTGGTAAAACTTCAGCATCAACTTAAATATGCAAAGAAAGTAGTGGAAGACTTTTTTTCTTAATCATCCAACCAGCTAAGTCAAACCTGATACATTCAGAGGAGCTAAGGGCTTTTAGAAGTTGGAGGCACTGCAAAGCAGCATGGTTATTCTATTAAAAACAAGTCAATCCATATTTGTAATGTCAAGTTCATTGAAATTCCCTGGTTGAAAACCAATGCTAAATGTTCAGAGAGGTTTAAACAAACACAAGCCATTAACTACAATTATTTCATTTACTGAAAACCACTGTATCAGAATCCATAATGAGATTGTCACTACAGAGTTTAAAAAGGCACCAGAAGTGCATCACCGAATGGTTCATGCAACATCCAATTCTCCACCAGCAATTAGGAAGGTCCTAAGGCTTCAAGGAAAGGCTGATACAGTACAAAGGCTTAATATGTGAGCTAACAGGTTTTCAGTACAATATTGCACTTAGGTGTTAAATAGGCTCAAGCTGCTCCCAGTGTAAACAACAACTTCAGGGCTACCAGAAATTGGCAGAAATTACTTAAATGGAAGCAGAAATTAATTTGACACTACTATCTATTGTTTTTATCGTGTATTTTGCTGTAGGTGTTTCCATCCTACACAAAGGCTGAAAGACATGCAATTGTGGCTGCTATGAAGATCTAGTGAAAGTGATAAGGTATTCTGGGTAAGCTTGAATGTCATTAAAAATGATGAACATCGATGGCTGGGTCACATTATCAGTTGAACTATCAAACCGATCTGTAGGGTTAAGAGGATCTTTTGCTGCTGGAGTAAGTGATCCTTTTTTCCCCTGAGAATATTTTCCAACAAGAACTCGAGCCAAGTACATGTACTTCCTCCCATTTTGATCTGGTCTAGAGTAGATGTCGCTGGCAGAATAGTAGGCGTTAACAGCAAAGTAAGTTCCATTTCCAAAGTATGCAGCTGTAGTCAGAAAAACAAATGTTTGTGAGTGTTCCAGTAGTGGCACTGTATCCCTTACCCACCACCTTCAGAGCTGTGAATCTCCAGACAACTTGGATTTTTATTTGCAAGAGGGAGACATAGCAAAGCAAACAATTTTGCATACAACACAGGACTGTACATATGGCATGGCAAATCAGTCCTTGCCCTATTCAGGAACACAAGAGGTGATTTGAAAGTCACATTACCGTGCATTCCAGCATAGCTCCGGTTAAATCCACTGTCATTAATTAAGGTTAACGACTCTTTACTCGTCCCATGAAACAGAAGCCTCTCATTATCACTGTTGCCATTTTTGTTATCCATTTCACGCTTTTTTATTTGGTAGGCCTTCCAAAAAAATGGGTTCTGCACCCTTTCAATCTGCAAAGTATGAAAGTAAAACAGAAAGAGAGTAGGTTGCTGTCATGTATTGACAATTCAATTTGCTTCCAAGATTCCCCTCCTAGCTCTAATGCACATGTACCAGATGATGAAATAAGTTAGTCAGATCCTTCCAAACTTTGGCATGGCAGACAGCACAGTCTAGCCCAAAACACAACAAACACTCCATGGGAACCAATACAGAAGCATTTCACAGGTTTCTGGGCCATAGGGGACAAGCCTGACTGCACAGCACATGGGCCTTACATGGGCAAATGCTGCAGCAAACACCATTCCAAGGAAGAGCACTCTCCCTTGGTGCTGAAGAAGCAACTGCTTAACAGCTGCTCCAAATACCTTGACTGCAACATTAAACAGATGCTGAATAAAGTTATGTGTTGGCCAGAAAGACTCGTCCAACTTCAGAAATTCAGTGGAATTTCTTTTTCTGTTTTCATTAGTATTCTTCATCATTGCCATCAAGGTATTTATGCCCAGAAACAATGACATGCTTTTACCTTTTCAATTTTGTATGTCTGACAGGTCTTCATAAACCTTTCCTGCACATATTTATACTCTCTTGATTCTGGTTTTAGTTCCACTACTCTGAGTCGCTTGTTTTGCATATCGTCCCATGTAGCAGGGAGTACTGTTGACTCTTGATCTGCAAAAGAAACATAATCAATCATATTTACCCAAATGCCTTGCTTAAAATTAAATATGCCCTTCTACAAATCCTTCTAAAAGTGCAAACATCTCACTTATGGATGAGTCAGAAAGAGGTAGCTCCTTATATTGTAAAGCACCAGTAGTAAATGGAAGAGGCTGTATCTCAGGAACAGAAGTGAGCTGAGATCTAGAATGACAACTGCTATAAGCATCTAATTATTGCTAAGAAGCATGTTGAGAATGTCAGAACGCATTACCTACCTTTCAAAATATTTTTAATAACTGCAGGGTTCTTTAATTTTTATTTCCCAATTCAGTTCCTTTCTACATTCTCCAGAAAAGCACTTGCACAAAGCTCCCTCCTAAGAATACTCTGAATATTCTTACCATTCCTTACTCTTACTGGGCTGGATGCAACCTGGTTTTCACATGGCAACATCAGTCTGTCAAGATGCTTTTACTTACCCTCAGATTTATTAACACGTATAATGGATCTCTGTTGTCCTTGGCCATCCATGGCAGATTTACATTCTATATCCACTGTGTGTTTTTGGCCGTGAATGGTGACGAAAATGCTTCTCTGCTTTTGCAAGTAAGCATTTTCCAGCTGCATGTTTGTGAGACTGTCGAAGGGCACATAGGAATCCTTTTCGAAGTATTTCCATTCAATTACATTTTGTAAAAGTTCTGCCTTGTCTTCTTCCTGTTTAGCAGCTTTTACTCTGAGGATCATTTTCTGAATGGCTGAATAAGCAATCCAGACATCTTTCGCAACACCTGAAATTCTAATAGAGGCAGCCTTCCAATTCAGAGCAATTCTTAAGTCCCTTTGTAAGTTAAGCACTTGTTCATACTCTTCCTCACTGAAATGCAAAATCGACTCATCTGTGATATCTGTTTCAAACTGCTCCATTAGAATTGCCTTTCTCAGCCAGTTTTCAGCTCCTTCCACTTCCTCTTTCTTTTCACCACAAATCTGCACAACAGTCATATCGATTTTCTTTTCCAAAACTCCTTTGTTTTTTTCCTTTGGGGAACATTTCTCAGAGTTCCATAATGCTACAATGAAATACACAAATATTGTAATTAATAGTAATTGTTATTAGCTGATGCTAAACAGATTGATCTATAACCTGGCCTTGAGTGACATCAACTTACTTGGTAACTTGGAAAGCAAGGATTCAAATAGGGTTTTAGTAGGCTTTTCTCTTTTCTGCATGCTTGTGTGGAACACACTTAGCATATGTGGCTGAAAGATGACAACTTTGACAGTTTTCACAGATGGAGCAGAGTGGTTTTTTGCAAAGTTAGTTACTGCATCTATCATTTTGTCGGCTACCTCAGCTGGATTGCGGCCTGCTTCTCCTGAAAAAAGTTATGGATATTTTGTTTTTGAAAAGTGTTAATAACTGTTACAAATTATTATCATACCTTTAAAAGAACAGTTAGGAACACACCCACAATCATGAACACACCCTGGATCATAAACAGGGCAAGAATACCATCAGGCTGGCAATTAGGAAAGGTTTCTATTTATCAGGAAAAGGAAGTTCAAGTCTACCTTTCCAGCAAAGGCAAAATGGAAGTTTCCTTTTGTTGACATGGTGACTGACCAGGTTATGATCACAGAATCATAGAATTTTAGGGGTTGGAATGGACCTTACAGATCATCTAGTCCCAACCTTCTGCCATGGGCAGGGACACCTCACCAACTAGACCAGGTTGCTCAAGGCTTCACTCAACCTGGCCTTGAACACTGCCAGGATTGGGGCATCCACTGCCTCCCTGGGGAACCTGTGCCAGTGTCTCACCACCCTCACTGGAAAAAACTTTTTTCTAATATCTAGCCTAAATTTCCCCTCTTTCAATTTGTACCCATTGCCCCCTGTCCTGTCACTGCAGTTCCTAACAAAGAGTCCCTCCGCAGCTTCCCTGGAGCCCCTTCAGATACTGGAAGGTGCTATGAGGTCTCCACATAACCTTCTCTTCTCCAGACTGAACAGCCCCAATTTCCTGAGTCTGTCTTCACAGGGGAGATGCTCCAACCTTCTTACCAACTTCATAGCCTCCTCTGGACTTGCTCCAACAGTTCCATGTCCTTCTTACATTAAGGGCATCGGAACTGTGTGCAGCATTCCAGGTGGGGTTTCACGATGTAGATGTTATGGCTTGATGTTCTCATGATGTAGATGATATGGCTTAGGTACCTAACAGGCCACAGGCCTGATGCTCAGTGGCCCAGTAGCCAACTCCTTGCTCAAAATGTAAGCCTAGTTTTATTCATGCAAGAGGTTCCCGCATGTGTGGGGTGCAGCTCTGGATTCTCTGACTCTAGACATTTCTACCAAACTAACTGAAAATAACAAAAGAAAAAAGGACAATCTGGGTTTTTGACAGGTTCGTGTTCCATCTGTATCAACCCTGCTTGTGCCACTGCTAGCCAGTTGCATCATCTACTGATTCCAGCTATGGAGAAGTAGCTCCCTGGCTATTCTCCAGTGAGCTGCCCACAAATACCAGGCTGCAGGTTCTCCAGGAAGCACAGACATACCTTGTAATACCTTGCTAACAAGGAAGTGTTGGCTCTAGAACTCATATACTCTTTACATACTAGCTGAGTGCAAGGAGTGAAGCTTTCTAGTGTCCACAAACCTCTAATAACAGTTTTAAAGCCTGCGGTTTCTGAATATATTTTCACCACATAATAATCCTTCCACATAAATCAAATTCATTGCTTGGGCCCTGAGATCAGCAGAATCATATGCACTGAACCCACTTCATGAAAGGGTGACACAAACCTGTTACAATTGCTGGGAAGGCGACAGAGGTGAACTGCTGTAATTCACACTCCTGAAGCACTTGGGAGACTAGCAACTTGGTATCAACTTGGGCAATAAAATGAATTATTTTTTTGCATGGCAGCCTTCCTGCTTGGGTTATAATATAACTCTTGTGAGGCTGCAAGGCTGGAAGATAAGTAGGAGAACATAATCAACAATTGTCCACAATATAGATGTGTATTAGTCCTCATTAGAAAATACGAAATGGTAACAAATATGCCTCAGGATAAGCTTCATGTCTCCTTCCACAGAGTGAGCAAGCCTCTCTCTCTGTTTTCACTTTCAATGCACAAGGATTCAATTTATGTTTAGCAAATAAATTTTGTGTGTGCCTTAATTTGTTAGGTTTGCTCTGCAGACGCAGAGAACTTCAAGCAGACTGGCACACGTGCCATCTATCCCCAGGCTGCCAAGCCCAAATTACTCTCTTGGCCTGTGCAGGAGAGGTTTGTTTACCTCTGATCTCCTCCTCCACATAATTCCTTTCCTTTGGTTGTTTTTTCAAGCCAATCTCCACACCTGTGTCTTTCCCACTTCCCTTGTTTTGTGGGGTTTCAAACCTCATACTCACCCATCCTCACTCCCCATTCATTATAGCTGCTGTTTGCTAGCTGCACTTGGTCTACAAATAAATGCCTCTTCTGAGGCAGAAACCCAACTTCCCAATACTGAAAAGTAGTCACACAGAGGATGCGGTACTGCATTGCTAGTTATGCTGACAGCAAACCATTTCTCACTCAGAAGTGACAAAAGAAGTTGCAGGTAGACAGTTGTTTCCATTGAAGTAGTTCCCTTGCTCATGTCTCTTCAATGTCGACTCTGTCTGCTTTTATCATGGAAAGGTTTATTGGAATAAGAGGATGGAATAATTAATAGTTTTAATCTTTAAATATGCTTAGAAGCCATCTCTTCTTGAAGGTTTTTCTTTTCCTTCTCTCATTAGATGTTTTACATATATCATATGAACTGATTAAAAACTAGCTGATGTAACACAGTGTATAATACAGATGGGAATACACAGTAGGCAGCACTGAGAAAGTATTCCAGCAGATTCCCTGCCATGCATGAACAGCTTCAGAAAGGTCAGAAATGTTATACCATACCTAGTTGACCACACTCGACTTCAACTGCTTTTCCAGCACCATTCAGAATTGCTCTAGAGACACCTTAAATGAGAAGAGGCACACGAACCACTGTTACTGCTGTTAAAGTCCCATCTGAGGCAGAAATGTATACCACATAATGTCCAAAATGTCTCAATCCTGCTAACAGCAAATGCTATTACCAAAAACCACTGTTGCCAAAATTTTAGACTTAGGATTTCAATTCAAAGTGATATCTAAAGTACCAAACAAGTTTCACTGAGGTCAAAACTTCAGTGATATGTGTTTTCTCCTCTAGTCTGAGAGGTGTTCTATAAAAAAAGTATTAAAAGTATTAGTTTCCCTTGGTACGAGTCTTAAACATGCCATCCTGTAACATAGATTAGGAAGAAAATAAAACTTCAGACACTTTCTCATTGAACCATTGTACCCTACAAAGTGAAACAGAGACCACACTGTGAAACAAATCAAAGTGTTTCAAGCATTGAAGAAATACTTCCTTCTGTCCTTTCCCAACCCTTCCAAACACATGGACTGTTTTCAAACATAATACCAACTCAAATACCTCCTGTGAGGCTGAAGTCCTCGTTTGTTATGTTTACAATGACATCGGTCTCTTCCATGGTAATATCACCTTCTGCCACCCGGAACAGGATGGAGCCAATGGTCATTTCATGTATATTACCTGCTGAGGTTGAAGAGATACTGGAAGAAGCTGCAGGAAAGAAATACAGACCCTGAGCAGAAGGAAGCAATGAAGTAAAAGATAAGGGACTTTTTTATGGGTACCACACCTACAAAGAGCACAGTTTGTTGACAGACTCAGCCTGTAAAGGAGATTTCTTCCTATGCTAACTGAAAATCATTCCTTCTCACAGGAATCTCTGCTCAACCTTCACCTACTCCCATCATTTCTATCCATGTGAAGATGGCCAGGAAAATGTGTTTTACTGTACACCTGGTATACAGATACTACTTTGAGACGTTTTACTGTTTAAGCCTTTGCAAAACTCCATGGTAAAAGAGCAGAAAACTTTCCAGCTTTCACCCCCTTGCCCCTCTGTCTCACAGAGTTTCCAGTCAGGTTCTCTACTGTGTGACAGGTGGAACTTTTTACCTAGGTGTTCTTTGTAAAATCTTAGTTAAGTTTTCAACATATAACTGATTTTCTACAAGCTGCAGCCACATTAAGCTAGATAACACCAAGGATATTTCAGTTTGGTTTCGCTATTCATCTGAACATGTAAAAGATCTAAGAGTATTCCAAAGAGGCCACTTTAAGACAGGTAACCAGGAACTCACCTGCTTTCCCAGGACACAGCAAGACACTGACCTGTTGATGATCTAATCTAGTACTGTAGCAACAAAAGAAAAAAACCTCCTTGTATCTTTGGCACATGATAGCTTCTGCTATCCCGATTTATAAGGGCACTATCCAGATAAGGAATTGCAGGTACTTTTTTTTTTCCTTAGCATCTCCAACACTATTATTTCAGACATGACAGACAGCCTGGAAATACTAGAATACCACTTGGACTTTGGGAATGACGTGCTCACCAAACAAGTATCTAAACATCCATAATGAATGCTTTCACTGGAATATCTGAAAGAATAAATGCATCCACTAGGCACACAACTTCTGTGAAACAAGCTTACCTAAGTGTTGGCTAGGCGTGCTTGAAGAAGGGATCTGCAATTTAACGTCTGCAGTATTTCCACTTCTGTTGTCAAGTTCGTCTGAAAATTCCTAGAGAAGGAAATTACAGTCAACCCCTGTGGAAGTCTTTACACAGTAGAAATAAAGGTTTGAAAATTAAAGTTAAAAAGCATTTAGAATGAACTAAATGCTAATTACTTCACACCATCTGCCACAATGCTGGTGACAAGTCCTGGCACACTGTTGTTCTCAGAGTTAGGTTATTCCATGTGGACAACAGACAGAATTATAGATAACTAGGTCAAAGCCCTAGTTGCCATTCCACAGGGATACAGCAAGAGATGGCATCCTTACACTGAGGGCCTAGTTAGTTTACACCAACTCATCTCTTGCAGGTAATGCCACCCTTTCCTATGCACAACAGCTCAGGCTTTTACACAGGAGACCTATGGCAGGGAGGGTTGGGACTAGATGATCTGTAAGGTCCACTCCAACCCTTAAATTCTATGATTCTAAAAGGTTTGGTCTGTTAAATTGTATTAGCTACTGCACAAAATACAGAAGCCAAGGGATGAAGAAACACTTACTTGGACATCAGTTCACAGTGTGACTACTCTCTTTTGGTGTGAAATGAGTAACCTGAGCATGGACATAGAAAATTTGTGCTAACATGATACTGAAGAAAGGGGGATAGAGAACACTGATACATTTCTGCTGGAGAAGTTTACCAGCACAGCAATTCTAGCACAATTTTTCTTCCTAAAAAGACACTAGCACTCCATGTAAAACACTCCTTTTTTTCCAAGGGTAGAGGCATTGACACAGAAGTTACAGCAAACTTATCTGTCAGGACCTAAGGACTGAAGAATTAGGTGAGTTCATGAGAAAAAGAGTAATGACACTTTTGTCTGTAATACTGCCAGGGAAGATAAAGGACAGGAAGGGAGCAGGACTGTACAGGACAGGTGGGTGACCATGAGGGTTTGGAGTCAAAAAGAGAACTTTCAGCATAGACAAGAGAGACTGCCAAGCAAAGCTTTTCTTTAGTATAAGAACAAGCACCCTGTGGACTTTTTGAAGATCATCAGATAGCCAAGTATCATGAGATATACCCAAATAAACCAGCATATAATATATAGAGAAAAACTCAGTAACTCACCTGAATATTAGCTGCGTCTTTTGGATGCACCAGAAAGTGAACCTTCTCAAGAGATTTGACTCTGTTCTTACTACTGAATTCAAACACCTTGTCGAACAGTAATTTAGCAACAACAGTGCTTGGGAATCCTAAATTCCCTGTCCCAAGGGCTGGGAAAGTAATTGACCTTAAAGATAGTTTTTCAGCAATCTTCAGGCATTTTATGATGATATCACCCAAGACCTGTAAAGCACAATTATTTTTTCAATTAGTGAAAGTAATTTTTTTCCAGCATGTGCAACATAGCACTTTCCCTTTTAGCCATCTCTTCATATTAAAATACAATTAATTGTATACATCACAAGGAATTGATTAGTCAACAAGTGATCAGCCACACAGTTAGAACACATCAAACTCTCTCATATTCTATGACACTGTCCCCCATTTCAAAGCAAAAGTACCATAAAACCCAACATAAAGCCCAGACAAATTCAGGAACATAAAACCCCTGATACCTTTAAAGATGTGTGTCCTTGGGACCATGCAGGTATGATAGCATGAAGCACAACACTGCAAGCTAGGTTGTAGCCTTTTGTTTTCAACACAGATCCTTCCTCAGGTGTTACTTCTTGGGCTTTTCTCAAGCCTATCTGAAGCATTGGCCCTGCCTTGCGTAGCAAAGCTTTAGCAAGTTGCCCTGTATCAAGCTGGAGATCTTTGCCGACACTGATGACAACAATGTCTGTCTGAAAAACACACAAGCAAAAACTCTAGTTTCTAAGTATCAGATTTAAATTTGATGCTGATTAATCAAATACAGCCTGCCTGCTACTTTGTAAAGTACATTTTTGAGACATCAGAGTGAACAAAGTTTTGGAATAAACCAGAAGTTATGCTTGATTCTAATATCATGAGCCTACCTGAAGCAATGCAAAATCTGAGTTAACAGTAAAATTAATTTCAGCCTGATGGGAGAAAGTTAAAATTCTGCATTCCGGTTTTACTCATTCTTCCTCCCTTTGACAAACACTTATTGCAAGTTTGTTCTCCAAGATTGGCCCACAGACCAGAATCCATATTCACTGAGGTAGGCAGGACCTCCCATGCATGGCTGGTCTAGGGGTAAAGCAGAAGCTGAAGACACACAAGACAGGAGGAAAGCTAAGGAGAATGCAGTTAGAACAACTTAAATGAGAGAAATACAAAGGGCTATGAACATTGTGTCGAGCACTATATTCAACTCCACAGGAAGGATGTCTATACACATTTTAACATATATTCTGCTCTGGACAACTAGAGGAGCTGCATGCACAAGCTGTGGGAGGCATCCACTCCTGAAAAGATTTGCTGGCCACTATGGAAAGGGCTCTGAACAGAGTTGCTACCAGTATTGGTGGTCCCAGTAAAGCAGCTATCAACCAGCTAACAGAAATTCAATGCAGGAAGCAACTGAAAATCAATTAGTGAAATTGTTTTTCCACAGGAAGTGGACTAACAACTGCATGTTTCATGCCAGTGTTCACCAATGACATAACAAATGACAGTTTCTCAGACCAACCTCCCATAGATGGAGGGAAAACATGACTGTGAGCTCAGATAGCCACTCTCACACAGCAGGGTACTCATGTTAACCACCACTGAGAACCCTCTTTTGCTCTTGCACTAGAATCAGGATTTCAGGAAAGGTCAGTGCCACATGAAGGTGGCTCCTGCCCAGCAAGGAAGGGTCAGGAGGGTTTGGAGCCCAGAACA